GCAGAAGCGGTCGAGACGGTATAAGCCCTTATCGATCCCGAAAGCAAGGTGTTGCTCATCTTGGAAGCGCTGATGCAACGGCTGGTTCTATCTCGTCGAGAAGGTAAGATATCCCTGCTTCTGATAGGAGAGGCTCGATCTTGCGTCACAGGAATTACGTCTCCGGATTGAGACCTTCATCAGTCGGTGTCGGCGTCACTTGAGCGGGATCACTCTGGTGGACCAGGGGCCGGACCCGGTAGAAATTCTTCTCGAGGCTGACGTGTACAACTGAACTTTACAGCGTGGCGTACTCAAGGGCAACCTCACCGAATCTGTGGCACAGGAAATCGATTTCGGGTGGGTCCTCATCGGAACGGTCGCTGCACACTCTCAGTGCATAATTCGAGCACATCACTGCGCTGTCGACAGGGAATTGATAGACGCGCTGTCACGCTTCTAGAATCAAGAGGAGGTAAAGAAGGATATTCCACTCACCACTTCGGAATAGGCCTGCGGGTATCCAGAGGACCCACCGACAAGACAACGGACTTCAGGACCACTTCACTACCCTCTCTGAGATCCATGAACCGACGTTTCGACAGGAATCTACCGCTGGAGGACGCCTATCACAGCTTTATGGCAGGGTACGTGGAGCTTGTCCAACATGCAGCAGTTGAGGGCACCTGACCATGACTCGTGCTATTATCTACCCCATCATGGGGAAATAAAGGCCTCTAGCACAACCGCCATGCTGAGGATAGTCTTCAACAGCTTCATGACCACCTCAACGAGTAAGATTCTCAACGACTTCTTGCCGAATCTCCTCCCTCCGCTCTTTGATGTTTTATTCTGCTGACGATGACATGCGGTTGCCTTCACGGCTGACGTTGAAAAGATGTTTCGGTAGATATTTCTACATCCAGGGCTGCAGCTCTGGAGCTGCAATTCCGAGGAAAGGTAGCAGTCATACCAACTTACGACCGTTACTTATGATCTAGCCTCTTACCTGACAGACCGGTGTTTTCAGTGGCTGCTCTTAAAGTAGGATGTCTACATGCATGACGTTCTGTCAGGCGTGTCTACGTATGAAGAGGCTAGTGGCCTGCTATTCGATATTCGAGCAACTCAATCAAGGAGTCAGTTTTGGGAGATCAAATCCGTTCCTACAACGGCGAACTTACCACTCGAAAACGAAAAGTGCGAACAAAACTTTTAAACCATGCATTCGCGATTTAAAACTGGGCGCTACAGTAAATTCTCTCTAATTGACGCTCAGATTGTGCACAAAAATGGACAATTTGGGAGAAGGAAATACGATTATTCGAGCCCTGCAGCTCGTTTTATAGTTGTTGACAATCTGTAACTATAAAGACGAGCTGCAAGACTCGAATAATAATATCACTTCTTCCGAAATTATCCATTTTTGTATACAATTCGAGCGACAATTAGGGAGAATTTACTATATATAGGACAATACGCTGGAAGCGATACAAATTTGTGTACTCCACTGATATCGCCAAGGTACCACCATATTTTAATGCACGAGTCTGATGCAATCTGTCAGTGCATATTGTTGCAATTTCGATTCATCACTTACGGCACCACATCAGCTCCCTACCAAGCTCTACACGTTCTTCAACAGCTTGTTCTGCACGATGAGCAATATTTCTCACTCGCAATACCGACTTTGTGAGACCAAACTTACGTCGATGATTGTTTATTTGGAGTTGATGACCTCGGCCAAATTATTAAACTGTGCACTCAAATTGAACAACCTTTTTTGCGCGGCGGGTTTAAACTACGAAAATGGGTCAGTAATGAGCCCAACCTTTTAAAGGAAATTGATCCTTCCGATCATGAACTAACCACTAATCAAAGTTTTATCTCTCTTGATACCCAATTAGGCCTTAAATGATACCCCGGGACGGATCAATTCCGACTCATACCAGCCGCGATTGAACAGAACGCGCGAACCAAACGAACCACTCTGTCAAACATCGCAAAGTTATTTGATCCTTCAGGGAGGATCGCATCAATTATAATATTAGCGAAAATTTTAATGCAGCAATTCTGGCAATCACAATGTAATTGGGACGATGAAGCACCTACCGCTCTCGTAGCCGAATGACACATCTATTGCACTTAACTTCTCTGCGTAACCCAGTTGCCTATTCCGCGCCGAGTGCTTTCTTATTCGGTTATACATCGCGATCTACACGGATTCGCCGATGCCCCAATATCGTGTCCGACGGTAGTTGCCTAACCACTCTTCTTTCGGCAAAAACTTGAGTGTAGCCCCTTTAAAAACCACTTCAATAACGTCGATTCAATTCGGCATGTGTTGCTAGACCGACTCATGCTTTACGCTATGGTGGCTCAGCAAATTACCGAACCATTTAAAAACGTACATTGCGAATCGGATTGCCCAACATCACATGGCGTCATGTTTCGACAACCGACAACCCTGACTGCGCATCTCGCGGCCTGTATCGCGAAAAGCTGGAGTGTCATTTTCTGTGGTGGATCGGCTGAACCTGGCTCCGTGAACCAGAGAAAACATGGCCAAAAATGCCTTGTAATATGAAAATAGGGGGTAGCTGAGGTCATTATAAGTAATTTCTTCCTTAGCGAAAATGCTAAGGTTCTCCGACCGCGGAGTTTAACAGAAGAAGGGGGGGGGGCACCGTGTCGCGTTTGAAGCAATGAATAAGTCACGGTAAAAATATCTCGATTTTTTTTTACCACGTGACAGTAATAATTTTAAGAAAAACGCTGTTCATCCTTATTTCAGAATGTCTGAAGAATATTTACTAATTTTTCGGGTTCGAAATAATAAGTAGTTTAACCGTAACAGCCATCTCAATTTTCTTAAGCGCATGACACCTCACGTATCAATTCGCGAAGCTGATTTAATAATAAATAATTGCGTTAAAAAAACATGCAGGATATGTTTGTTTAAGAATGGTAAAGAATATCATTAACAGTAAACTCACCCATTTAGGTGAGGATGCATTTACTGTTCGAAATTGTGGGTCATGCACTGGTAGGTGCACTGCCTCGTACAATATAGGGACTTCAGGCATGGCTAACACAAAGTTCATTTTCATTGCACTATCACGAAACACTCATCGGTTAATTAATCACTGATAATCCGAAACACTGATAATCCAAAATCGTAAAGGCATCCTATGGAGGGAGGGGAGGACGTCGAATTGTTTGATTCTGCGTTAAAATGGAGTGGCCCTGGAAAGAGGCGATAAAGTCATTAAAATCTTCTATTATCTTGTTCCTTCGAGATCGTGACCTCCCTTCTTTGTTGCCGATTCTGCGGGGCACGCCGATAGAATAAAACGTGATGTTAAATTCTTCTTGAACCGTATACGTTTTAACGGAAAATGCTGACGATGTTTCACGGGGCACGGTCTGCGACTGAGTGAATCTATGTTTTTTTCACTCCGCGTTTACGTTGGTAAAATTCCTAACGAAAATGTGAGTGCACGTGTAGCAGACTCGCAACGTGGAAAGGAAAAAATTTTCAAACGAGAAAATTCTATTTCTCCCGAGTTCACGTGTAGTTCAGATGCTGGCCCTGGTCGCTTGAAAGTATAGTTGTCCCAGTCGACGACTTGTTAATGAGAGAGAAATTCCCTATCCTAAAAACCCGATGAGAGAATTATCTCCAAGGAAATGATACAATTGTATTTTCAAGCGACCAGGCCCAGCATCTAGACTTCATTACTTTTACGATCAGCCTTTTTCAGGGCCACTCCATTTTAACGTAGAATCAAACAATTCGACATTCACCCCCCTCATAGGATACCTTCACGATTTTGGATTATTAATGTTTCGGATTATCAGTGATTAATTAACCGGTCAGTGTTTGGTGACAGTGGAATGAAAATGAACTATGTGTTAGCAATACCAGAGGTCCCTCTGACAGTATCCCTCGAATGTTGCGGTCATCGACCTCAACTAAATAGGTGAGTTTACTGTTAATGATATTCTTTACAATTTTTAAATTTACAATTCTTAAACAAACATATCCTGCATATTCTTTAACACAATTATTTATTATTAAATTAGCTTTGCGAATCGACACGTGAGGTATCATGCGCTTAAGAAAATGAAAGTGGCTGTTATGATTAAACTACTTATTATTTCGGGTCCGAGAAATTAGTAAATATTCTTCAGACATTCTGAAATAAGGATGAACAGCGTTTTTCTTCAAATTATTACTGTCACGTGGTAAAAAAAATCGAGATATTTTTGCCGTGACTTGTTCATTGATTCGAACGCGACACGGAGCCCCCCTTCTTCTGTCAAACTCCGCGGTCGGAGCACGTTGCGCTCGATCGATCGACCGCTGTAGTTTGCGCCCTCGCCTCTCATTGATCAGTGTTTTTCATTAAAAACTCGTAAACGAAGCCAAACTTTTACTACGTAGCAGTGATATTTTTAAGAAAAACGCTGCTCACCTTTATTTATTTATTTATTTTATTTTTTTTTTTTAGAACGTTTGAAGAATATTTTCTAATGTTCGTAGCCGAAATAGAAAGTAATTTATCAGTGACAGCCATTTTAATTATAAATTGAGCCGATTACAGTGAAGATTAACAATAAAAAATCCCGTCAAACTAACGCAAAAAATATTTTCGTTTCAATAATTCAAAATTCAAATAGAATTCAACGAACGATTCGCAAAGCTAATTTAATAGAGAAAGAACATGAGTGATGTTTATTTAAGATTATCAAGATTAAGAATATCATTAATAGTAAACTGTCGGTCACAATTCACGATGTCGACCCCGCACAATGTTCAGTTGATCCCAGGTCAATGGCCTTACCGAGAAAGGGATGCGTTCCTCGACAAGAAGTTCACTTTCACATCACTGTTACAAAACATTGTCCAGTTAATTAATCGGTAATCGGGAAAAATGTGCGTATGTCCATTAGATTTCTTTCATTATTTCCTGCATTAAAATTGGGGGCCCTAAAAAGGGCCAATTAAGTGCAGTAATTATAGTTGAATTGTCTTAACCTGCGTTAAGACTGAATCACCCTGAAAAGGGTCGTTTAATATCAAGAATGTGGTACAAAATGTTGTTCATTCGCTTAGTGGCAAAATCTTGCATGCGCACCTATTTGTTTTCGAACCTTGTGCGGTGTCTCCGCACGGACGTTTGTAATGTGTCGGCGTCGCGACGGCGCCATGTATTCGGTACCCCGCATCCTGAAATGATTGTTGGAAAAGAGTACATAAAATTAGTTTAAAGAAATATTAAAAAATATAATAATAAATTAAAGATGTCATTGTTGAAATTACCTTGAGCCCCAAAAATAAAAATTGAGAGGATTCAAATTTGGTGACCACTTTGGTGACCCGTGACAGGTCCAACACGGCTGATTCACCTGTAACCTTGAAAGACTTCATAATGCACTGAAACACCATCCATTTGGTAGAACATGTTCTGTCGGATTTCTAATGGAATGTCAGCCAAAATGTCCGGCAGAACATGTTCTAAAAACGTTTTATAAGCTGGGTTTATAGGTTTACATCTTGCTGGACAGGATGTACGGCCCAACGATGAAATCGCCATGCATAGTGACCATTGGAATTTCCTTCTCTTGTAAATAGTGCTTCGTCGGCCCATAATACATATTTGTCCTATTTCTCCTAGCAGCCGCCTCGAATATTGTACCTGTTTTAGGGCGTCGATGTCGAATAAGGCTAGTACCCGCCTGAACTTGTACGGCCACATATGATTCGTTCTTCAAAATGCGATGCACCGAAGAACGACTGATACTAAAAACAAATACATAAAAATGCATAAACATTTACAATAAAAGAATATATTTCTTACGCAATTAGAAATCACAGCGGTAATTTTAATCGCTACTTACCTCACTTGGCGACTCATCTCTCGCAGGCTCAGGATGCAGTCTGCTTCCACCTCTTCGAGGATTTCTTCCTCCGCTTCTAGCTTCCGCCAGGTCCCCCTATCGCCGCAATCCACAACTCCTTTATGGTAGAAGTTATATTGCAATTTTCTGATATACCGCACTTTCGGCGTTTGGATTTTTGGGGATCTTCTCTCTCAACCTCTGCAGCCTCCAAAAGATATGGTATTGCTCTTGCGAAAAATACACTTCGACGTTGACTCGAGGTAAACTGAAGAACAAGAGAGAATTTTATGATTCTTTACCTGCAGATGTGTATACCGTGCCGTGAAATTCACCGTTCGGGGGTGTTATTTCTGGGGTACCAGCCCCAAACAGTGTATTTCGCTGCACGGTATACACATCTCTAGGTAAACAGTTTTAATACACGCGCGCGCGCGGGCGCCACCTGTGACGACAAATAGGAGAACAGCGGCTCATCTACGAGGAGTGGCCCACTCTACTGGTCCGGGCCAAGACCTGCCTGAACTCCAGGCCACTGCTGCCGTTGAGCGACGATCCGGAGGAACTAGAGGCACTGACTTCGGGCCACTTCCTCATCGAGGCCATCCTCATATCACTACCGGAAGAACTGGAAGGACCATCATTATCTCGTTGGCAACTCATCCACGAGCTCCAGCAGCATTTTTGATGATGATGGTCCATATATTGGTTCTTGGCTCGCGTCGAGGAGCTCCACCCTGGACCAGAAGGACTCGTCCGCGTGGTCACCCTTAAAACGGTCTAATCTCGCTTTCGCCGCACTATGACAAAGATTGCTTTATTACCCACCGAGGATGATCACGTGGCAGTGCTGGCCACGCGCTCATAAATAATATCACACACCACACTGCACATACCTTGCTTGTCTCGGTATAATATATTTTCCATGTACTCTTTAAATAATTGTAAATTCACTGCAGAATGTGCACACTTACACATTCGCCACGAAAATTAGTGGATCACGTTGCGTTCCATCCAAGCACTCAGTCGTGAATGAAGTTGTCTCGTTCTAGTCTCGAGCATTCTCTTTGTTGCACCGAAGACAATGAACAGTTGGCAAGCCTGCGAAGTTGGCACTTTCACCCACTGGACGAAGGCGAGCAGGAATGTTCGCCGGATTGGACGAGACATCCGCGAGTCGCGACATGAAGTTCAAGTCATCAAGGAGACAGAGACGGCCATCTCTGAGCGAGCAACAAAAGCAACCGAATCGCTGAGTCATCCTCGTTGCCAGGTGGCGAGCGGTGATTGGTGCTCGCTCGGAGACCGGCAGCTATATACACTTACTGACAAATGTTAAGAAACAACGTAATCGTTTGATACATTTCTGTATACGGTAATGTCTCTCTTCTTGTCGTAACTTGAGTATGCCAATCCCGACGCTGAGATATTGCTACTGCGGCCCTTTAATTTATCGATTTTCTCGCTATGCTAAAGTTCGATGGTGTTGGTGAACACGTGTGCTGCGGCACATAATTAATGGAAACAATCACGAAAATATGGTTAGAAATTTCGATTGTTTTGTGCTCGTTTAATTGAATCTATACCACGTAGATGCAATGCAGTCCTCAAATTCAAGATTTTAGACTATTATGAAAACTACAGACATCGACACAACGCTGTTTTTTATTCAAAGTGATTATATAACTTAAGTGATGTATGTTTCTTAACTTATGTCGCGTACCTTTTGTCTTATTTCTTCGTTTCAATTTAATTATGGCTTTTGTACACGTATGTTTGAGAAAAAACTCATTGATCATTGATGTATGTGATGCTATCTCATTATGCTATGTTTAGTTCCAACCTATGTATCTTAGAAGATAGAGAATATACCAAAATGTATAAAACGATTACGTTGTTTCTTAACTTTTGTCAGTAAGTGTATCTCTCTCTCTCTCCCCATGGCGCATTCGTAGACAATGCTATATGCAGATGTGCAACGGTCATTCGGTCTTGTTCTCTTGTAATTCTCTTGAGCAACTAACGTCCAGCTATACTAGGTATTTTAATTTACCGCACTCGTACCGAGTCTTTTTACTGATCTTCACGCGAATTAGTGTACTTAGCTGTTCGTGTTAGAAATACTGTGCACGAATCAATTATAACCGCAATACTTGTATTGTAAGAGATTCAGTGGGAGTGTAAATATTACTTGTGTATTTATTAAAGGTAATTTTGTCCGTTACACGGGTGAATATATTATACAAAATACATGTTCCTATTTTTCCGAAGCTCCCTAATTGACGCTCAGATTGTACACAAAAATGGACAATTTTGGAAGAGGAGATACGATCATTTAAGTCTCGCATCTCATTTTTATAATTGTTGACAATCGGCAACTGTAAAAATGAGCAGCGAGGCTCGAATAATCGTGTCTCCTCTTCCCAAATTGTCCATTTTTGTATACAATCTGAGCGCGAATTAAGGAGAATTTACTGTATTTTGAATCGGATCCAAACAGCAGATATTTTAACTTTAATTTCATCGAAAAATAATACTGAATATCTGCTAAACTAATCATTTTTTGACATAAATAAGTTTTTTTTATAGAAAATGTCAAGTTGCGTCACTTAATAGAAAGTACCCTTGTAGCTGCCCGGTCGCTACCTGGTCCCGGGAAATTCCGACTTCCTTTTCAAATCATAAACTTCACCAAGGTAGCCAGACTTGCCTGGGTCGACAACGTTATCTGAGCGAATGCTTTGGTTCGCGACGGATCCGACTATCTCAGGCCTCGCGCGCGTGCGACCAAAGATTTTTCCCACTTATCGTTCTTACATCTGGCAATTTTTCTGCCGGTGTTTGTCCGTCCTGGTTGAATAGGATATTCTGTCCTTTGGAAACGGCAAAATAAATAGCCCTCTGAAGACGTTAGAGGCAGACAGATGTTCAGTAGAGTCACGACGTATTTACCTCAAGCACTTCCTACGAACTCCTTCGAATTCGGCGAATTCGTACGGTTTTACTGTATACATGTATTAAAACAGAGTACTCGTTGTGAATAAATTTCGTGTCGTATAGATACAAAGTGTAGCGTATCATTTCCCCCATAGCATACCTATACTTTTGACGGTGTTAAAAAATTTTAGTCAAGATTTTCAACAGTACTGCATTCGTAACAATATGGTATTGCAAAGAGTCGAATGTGGTGCCTTTAAGGTACCTATTCCCAAATATCGAGAGGAATGTCTAGAGATAATTTACAAGAATTCTTTCAGACGTTCAGCCTCCCTCTCCGAGAGGAACTGTAGGGATACATATGGAGAGACACGATCCGTCTCGAAACGGATACTTCAAGTGCGGATTAGAGGACTTATTGCGGACTTAGGCGGATTATTCGTGGCTATGAAATTCCGCGACTGTGCAAAATGCCGTGATCACGTCATTCCCCAGTAATAATGGCACGACTAAATTATCCAAGACTCGGGTGGATATCTCGTGCACCTATATTTTAATGCGCAGCGTAAAATAGATTTGCTCGGCCGCCTGATCTACCAACCCCGTTGCCAATACAAGAAATAACACCGTCCCTCTGGACTGAATTGATTCGCCATTGTTCGGCTGATAAATGCGTCCCGATGGAAATGTAGATTTCTAACGGTTTAGCTGTATAATAGACAGTTCCGTCAATCTCATTGACGCGCGAGGAAATTATTTCATATCGAGTTCCTCCGTCCCCGTCGAGCGACTCGCTCTCTCGTTTTCCGCATTACTCGTGAATCGTAACATTGGGAGCCCCACATTGATAACAACGGTGTCGGAGTTCCTCGGGGTATTCTTGAGCGAGGTGCTCCGGCTCCCGACAGTTGCAGCACGTAACCGCGACCGGCGCACAGTTAGACGGATCAAGAAATTCAGTGACATTCTGTTATAACTTCTGAACCATTAAAGATATTGCAATGACATTTTCACCAAAAATATTTACAAAATAGTCATATTTAACTATAGATAATTAAATATTTTTCGCATTTGTTGAATAATAATTTTTAATTAATTTTTATTGACAATTTTTATGAAAAAAATATTGTTTAAATATAATGTTACAAACTATTTGTAACATTACAGTACTAACATACCTGGGATTACTAATGTGTCCTCGTAGCCAGTATGGATGCAATAGAGTGCACGCCCCATTATCATACCATTTTGTCATTGTTTCAATAAATCTGCAACTTCAGAGGACTTAATTATTTAATTTTCTTCTTATAGGATTTTATTTGTATCGTTGGATTCAATTGGACCCAGATAACACTGTTCAACACGTTTCTTGATTTCCTATAGCCACTATGAAATTCTTTTACAGCTTCACTCCCCGAACAAGAATCCGAAAACCGAATTGCTCCATCACCCTCAGTTTTTGAAAAAAACGAACTTTTGTAAAAACCCAAAATTTTCAACAAGAATGAGGTACTGCATGAAAAGTAAAAACGTTAGAAAATTCTACTCATACATATGAGGAGGTGGGATCGGCGACGGGAAGAAAGAATCGAACCCGGTTACAATCGGACTACTTTTATTTACAATTACGCCGGTACAAAACTCGCGATGCTCTCGCTCCCGACGAGGGTTCTTACCGAACTGTTCCATTCGCTCACTCATGCATCCCATCCAGATCGTTCTTTCTCATTCTCATGGTTCGCTTTCACTCTATACTGACTAGACGCATTCATTCTACGCGACACTCGAACCAATCGTTTAGACTTTCGCTCGACNGACGCTAACGCACAGCATGCAGCCCGGCCCATTCGTCCAAACATTCTTACGCCTTAAAACTAAACACATGGCGGAGACGTGGCGCCGGCTTGTCGCCGCCACATCACCCCCCCGCCAGTGATTGACTCGATCACGAAACTTGTAGTCGGTCCGGGAAACGCACTCTTCTTCCGGACCGTGTGGTGCGTAAACCCGCACCTGGTGATACTAATATGGGGGGGCGGCACCGCCGGACCCCGAGATGGTGGCGATGGTCGGGGCGGCTGCCCCGTAAACTCGCTCGGAGTGGGTGGTGGTGGTGGTGGTCCCTCGGACTCTCCAGGTAATGCTGGCTGTGTTGCCCCTGGTATCGTCGGCGGTGCTGGATCTGTAGCCAGCAAATACGCCGGCTTTAGGCGATCTATGGTAAC